AAGCATGATTCATAAAAGAAAGAAAAAATTGGTAAATTGGACCTTATCAGAAGTAAGGACTTCTTTCTCCACAAAAGATACTTAAGAGAATAAAAGGCCACAGACTAGAAGTTATATGCAAATTGCATATCTCATAAAGGATTTGAATCTAAAATATATAAAGAATGGTCATACAGTAAGAAAACAACCCAGTTTTTTTACATGGGCAAAAGATTCGAATGGACACTTTATCAAAGGTGAGATAGATGACATATGAAAAGATGCTTATTATTATTAATGAGTAGGGAGATTTGCATTAAAACCACAATGACATGTTACACACCAATTAGAATGGCTAAAAACAAAAGCCGACCATCCAAATGTGGGAATGCAAAGTGGTACAGCTGTTTTGAAATTTTTGGCAGTTTCTCATAAAGTTAAACATACACTTACTCTGTTGAGTACTTTTCACTCCTAGATATTTACCCAAGTGAAATGAAAACTTAAGTTCATACAAAATCTGCATAGGAATATTTATAGTGGCTTCGTTCATAATTGCCCAAAGCTAATAGCAGCCCAAATGTCCTTCAGCTGGTGAATGGATAAACTATGGTATGTCCATATAATGGAATACCATTCAGCAATACAAAGGAGTAAACTTATGATGCATCCAGCAATGTGAATGAATCTTAAATGCATTATGCTAAATGAAAGACTCAAAGGTTACATATGATTTCATTTATATGACATTCTGGAAAAGGCTAAACCATTGAGAACCTCCATAACAGACCAGTGGTTACCTCAGATCAAAGGTGTAGAGAGAGGTTGACAGTTCAAGGGGCAGAGTGGGGTTTGGGGAGTGATGGAACTGTTCTGCATAGTAATTATGATGAATACACAACTATACGTTTTTGTCAATGCTAGCAGAACTACACTGAAAAGAGTGAATTTTACTGTATGTAAATTATACCTTAATTTTTTTAAATGGGGAAAGAAATCATGCAGAGACAGAAGGGAAGCATACAAATGACTTCTAGCTGGGAAACAAGGCCTTTGTGGCATGTCTCTGTTTTTGTAGCTTTATGTAATAAGAAGAGGTAGGCAAAGTAAAGTAAATTTTTAAGGAAGCTCAAATGTCAAAAGGGGTATCTAAACAGTTGGAGTGTTTTTATTTTAGATCACCTTTCCCATTCTCTGGGCATATGACTCCAAGGAAGTAATAATGCCTTCTTGATTATAGCATGATTGCCACCTGTGTA